TGTTGCCACCCGCGATTGCCTTTGACGTACCACTTGGCACGTAGAAAACCTCCTCTTCTTCCTTGAGGTGGACGAGTGCAAACGCCTCCCCAACCAGTCGTTTGTCCAGGCCACGGCGCGCAAGATCTACGACACGTACCTCAAGCCTGGCGCAAAGCGGTACCTGAATCTCTCCCTCCGGCTTCACAACGAGTTTGCCATTCCGGACGACGCGGCCTTTGAGCCCTCCGCGTTTTTTGACGCGCAGTACCTCGTGCTCGAGTACATTCGCGTCGAGCTCTGGCCGCGCTTCAGGTATCGCCAAACGCCATTACAAAGTCACAAGCTCTCGTTAGCATCTCGGAGCCGTACATCAAATACTGCCAAACGGAGGCCGTGTCACCGCAACCGTGGGACGAGTACCACCCCGAAATCTCGGCCGAGCGAATGGAGACGCTCATGGCCGAGCTGGATGCAATGAACCCCTCCGTGTACGTTTTGAATTTGAGTTTGCCAACAGCACTCGCGCTTGACGAAATGAAACCTTGTAGGCTCATCCAACGAGCGCTGTCGATCCCCGTCGAAGCCATCGCCAATGCGCCAAAGCCTCTGGCGCCAAACACGCTTATGCTACTCCTCCACGACAAGCTCGGACACCGAGCGTTCAAGCAGTTTCTGTCCGTAAAAGGCAACGCCCACTACGTTGCCTTCATCGACGAGGTAACTCGAGTCACCACTCTCCCCAAATTCACTCATTTCTTCAGGTCGACGAGTACGAAGGCCTACCTGGCATTGAGTTTATGCAGCACACGGCCAAGAAGCTCTACAAAAAGTATCTGAGCGAATCCTCCAAGCTCCAAGTGGACACGAGCACCAAGATGCGCCAGGAGATCGAGGCCAAGCTCTCGTCGCCAACCATCGACATGTTCAAAGCGGTTGTCGCCCGCGTAAAGCAAGGTCCCCCGAGCCGACCTCTGCGATTATGTTTGTTAACATTTTCGCTCCGTAGGGTTGTTACGAGACGCCTTGCGCCGATACCTCAAGTCGTCCATATACCTCGAGCTCAACCTCCAAGCTCTGAACCCCGAGCTAGCAAAGGAGCTGGACGAGGCTGTTGCGCAAGGTACCCATTGCATGATGGATGGTCTGTAACTGGTGCTAGGGAAACTGGAAATTCCGCACCTGGAAATCTTCCTATCGGACGCCACTTTCCTCGCTAACTTTAAGAGCTATTGCAAGAGCCAGCACTGCATCGAGAACCTCCTTTTCTGGGAAGAGGTACTTTTGCAGGATCCTTCCCGTTCGGAGTTGAATCTCGCTAGGTCGAGGAATTTCGGAGGCTACCGTCCAACCAAATTGTGCTGCGCTGCGCCAAGAAGATTGTCGAAAAGTACGTCAACATCGAGACGTCCAAGACGCCGCTGGACCTCCCCGTCCACATGCACGAGTTCCTCACCGACAACCTTGAGCACGTCGACCGCGCCTACTTCCACGATGCTGTGGCCGAGGTCATGGACACGCTCCGCTCTATTGAGCTCCCCGATTTCCTCGACTCGCCTCTCTTCATGGTACGCGATCCTGGACTGTGCTGCGAGAATCGACTTTTTGGCCGTAGGTGCTCGTTGGGTCGTGGGTCACGATGGACCAAGTGTACGCGGTGCACCACCTTCACAACGACCTCGAGTCGGCGTACTTTCGGCACCGGTTCCACTACATTTGCGAGGCCAAGAAGGAGAAAAACCGAGACGATGCGCTCGGGTAGTGTTGTGGTAACGTTGTCGTTATCGCATTCTCTTGGCCAACCTTGTTACGCCTGGCGGCTACTGTCATCGTCATCGTCGACACCAACCCAGGACTCGAATGCCATGAGAAACTCCTACAAAGACAGCGTCGGTTCTGGTGTCGGTGTAGATACAAATATATGACTTTGAACGTGATACTGCCATCGTGGTCCCAGTCCATCTCGTTGAAGCGCTTTTGCGAGATGAAGGCGTTGGCGGGGCACGTGCTACCGCTCTTTGTCGTCGAGCCCACTGACCTCGTCGTAAGCAATCATAAGTCGCTCACTGGTACGTACATTTGCGCGCCTTGGACATCTTCTTCGTGGGTGAGTGCTCGTGCATGGACTCGGTCAGTCGACGCAGCATCTCCTCTCTAATGTCATGTGAGCAAGTCGGACGATGCAATTGCCTCATGGACTTTTCAATGAGCCCGTCGCCGTCCATGTCAAACCATAGAAAGACGTCGACCGCCAGCTGGAAGGCCTGTCGGAGCTTATTGCCTA